CATTACAGAACTCTCATCTTGAGCAAGCATGAAGGCGACAGTGGAAAGGAAAAACTCCTTTATGAGGAAGAAACCTTTAGCAGAACCAGACTCAGGACAAGCGGTCATCTGCTTCGACCGGCTGGGTTTGGTAGAAACAGATACTCAATGACAGGTCAAGAATCACATCTTAAGATAAAATAATATCAAATGAAAACTATTCAACTGTAACAATTTATTGTAAGAAATGTGGTCAATTTGTCCTCCATTAGTCTAAGCCTATGGCAGTATAACAAGGCAACCCTAGCATTTATCAAAAAGGAAAGTCTTAAAACTGGACCATGTGTCAGCTTCACGGACAGAAACTGGAAGTTGGTTCCACAAGAGAGGAGCCTGATAACTGAAAGATCTTCCTCCCATTCTGCTTTTGGAAACTCTAGGAACCACAAATAAACCTGCAGTATGACAGCGAAGTGATCTGTTAGGAAAATATGGAACAATAAGATCTCAAATATAAGATGGAGCTAGGTTGTTGAGGGCTTTGTAGGTTAGAAGTAAGACTTTGAATTCAATTCTGGATTTGACAGGGAGCCAATGGAGAGAAGCTAAAACTGGAGAAATATGGTCTCTCCTACTAACTCCCATTAAAACGCTGGCAGCAGCATTTTGGATCAACTGAAAGAGTAGTCACCACATGTTTGCATCACTTTGTATGATGATGAATGCAAATTATTTGTGGCATTTATCTCTTGACACAGCAACATGGAAATTTTGCTCTGTCTACTCAATAAATGCTCAATCTGTTCAATTTCTGTTTTTAGGTTTCAAGGGAGATTTAAAAAAGTTGTTTTGCAATCACTTTTTAAAATCCTGCCAGCTGGTGTGAAGAACCTCTGCAGGTCTGCAAACAGTAACTGGAGGAAATGCAAAACCTTACACGCTTTGAAGTAAATGTTTAGTTTGAGGGTGAGGGGAAAGAGTAGAGAAGTGATCGCTAAGTAAAGTCAAGGTGAAAAGTTGTTTAAAGTTCATGATGAAACGAGTACAAACAGAATGCAATTTAACCTGCAGAACGTGAGGACTGTAGCGCGTGTTGCCTGAAAGTCAGTTTAAGGTGCGAGCTCTAAAACACAGGAGCTTTTCTCACGCTCCTCCATCATCCATTCACTTTAATCTCTGCTCCCTCATCACTTCACATGCAACCTGCTCAATAATGGAGCCATCATTTCATTTTGATGTTCTCCACTTTAATCGCTCGCCCTCAGAAGATCACAGTGTTTATGTCCGTTTCGGAAAAGCAGAAGCGCATGCTGACGTGCGCACCAGAGAAGTGTTTTCTTGTATTTTGGATTGTTTCATGAAGTTGTGATAAATAGGGCTGTGTGAATCAGAGGCTGTGTTCTTAACACTCCACCGTCTTTTG